CAGGGGTGGCGAACGTCAGTCCTGGAGAGCCGCAGCCCTGCAGAGTTCAGCTCCAACCCTAATTAAAACTCACCTGCCTGTAGCTTCCTAGTAACCCTTCAGACCTTGATTAGCATGTTCAGGTGTGTTTGATTAGGGTTGAAGCAAAACTCTGCAGGGCTGCGGCTCTCCAGGACTGACGTTCGCCACCCCTGTTCTATGGCATCGCTTGAAGAACCTTTTGAAGCACCTTTATTTTTAAGAGTGCACTGGATGGGAAGAATAGTGATTTAAATTTTGGCCTCTTCCTCACACAAAGCACATATAGTATGCCAAAGAAAATATAGTATGCCTTCAAAAGACTTGGACAAAGGTGCAATACTTATTTCTTCTTCTTCTTCCGCACTTGAAGTCTATGGCAGGCCATATAACTGCTTGCGGAAAAGTTTTGAAATTTGGAACAGATAGAGCACAGTCTAAACATTAACCATAGAAAGTCTGAAGTCTTTAACTCAAACCTTCTAGTGCCACCAACAGCTCAAATTTGCACTCATGTTTATGCTAATAACATTTGAATGGTAAAGTTTAGATGCAAAATTCTTTTTTCCCATTGATTCATTGGCTTACGCTGAGTCAAATGCATACTGAAATTTTAAATTCTACAAATTTTTTTTTTGCAATTTTGAATTATACGTAAAACTTCAGACCATGCTGGCAAAAATGTATTAAAAACTTTTTGAAAAACCCTACCATTTTCAAATAACGCACAAACAAATTTTACGAAGAGGATGCAAAAATGGACGTGAGGCTATATCTCCACAACGCTTCAGCGTATTCAAACCAGACTTGTGATGTGTTCGAAATGCCATACTATCATACTACTCTTACTATTTCTGTAGTATCCAGTATGTATACTGTGCATAGTGTGCAAATTTTCTGTATGTATGGAATACCCGGATGACCTACTATACTTGCCAGAATCTGCTAAAAATAACACAAGTACACTGAAATCAGTACAGAAGCGGTGTTTGGAATGGCATACTACCATACAACTCCTACTATATTGCAGTATGCAATGTGTATACTGTGAATAGTATGTGAATTTTCTGTATGCATGGAATCCCCGGATTACCTGCTACATTTGCTAAAAATTGATGCATGCATCTGAAGGCACTGCATAAGATACTGTTTCCCACAACGCAACGCGCTCCATGTGACGTTTCATCTTCAAATGCGTGAGTGAACTGGAGGCGCGGGATAGTAATGATAAATGTAACACTTTTATATGTACTTATACAAATGTTACTGTAAACTACAAACTATTGCTCTGTATCTAAAAACGATATCGTTAGTAGCACATAATTTGTACCTTCATATCAAGTCAAATGACGTCACCTTTATCTCTATAGTGCTTTATAGCACTCTATAGAACAGATTGTTTCAAAGATATTAAATAATAATAATATTGCAGAAATATAATATACAAATAACATATAATATATAAATAAAAATAATATTTAAATTATGCAAGCAGAATTCAATTCCACTGTAAAGCAGCTCTAAAAAGAAACGGAGTGTCTATTTACTCTAAGTACAAGTAGCCCAATTTGTTGGCAGGGGCTACAGTAACTTCGCCCACCAATGCTTGGCTGTGATAAAGAGCAAAGTAATTGACGCGATTGATGTGTGTTAGAATCCGCCTTTTGCCAAACTCGTTCTTATCCTTTTCCCATCACATATCAGATCGGAAAGGCATTTATTTTCAATAAAAATAAAGGAAATATTTGAAAAGTGGAAATAAAACAGCTCATTAATAATAGTGTTATTGGGTATGGTTAGCCATAGGTGTAGGGAGGGCTTTATTGTCCCAATAAGGCGGCATCTATTTAATAATATTAGTAAATAAATATGATCGTTTACACTCAATATGTTATTACATACTGTTTTATAATGTACTACAGTACTGAAGTACATATTTGCCACCTAACTTACACATAAAGTTAGCCTATTGCTAAAGAAAATACTGCTATTTTAGTGTAAACTGAATTGATCATTATTTGCACTTAGTGTAACTAGAATATATCACTATTTCCACTTAGTGTAACTGCCAAAAAGAAAACAATATCATTGTTCAGTTAAAGACAGATCAGTGTTGATTCAGTTCTGTTCAATATGTTTAATAGTATGAACCCTTATTAACCAGCCTTTGTAAAAGAACAGTTAGCACATTTATTTGTAAGGTAACAGCCTCGACAGCTGTGCTGAATTAATGTTCAGTGTTTGTCATCTGACAACACTGTAGCATACTACTCTGAAACATTTTGTTGCTTAATGCTTATTGTATACTATTTCACAGACTATTCTTTAAAAAAAATACTAGGCAGTATACACTGTATGCTGGACAGTAGGCAATAAGCAGTATGTTAGTATGCCATTTCGAACACAGGATCAGTGTGTGTTATAAGAACCACGACCTGAAACTACCTGCACAGTTTCGGCGTAGGGCCCCCTACTGGTCAGGAGAATGGAAATGGATATTTTTGCTTATAACTTCTGAACAGTTTGCCCAAAAATCATAAAAGTGATATTGTTAGATTTGGGTCGGCATGCTGAGTCAAATAATATCATACATTTTGAATTTTGTTGTAAAATGCTGTATTTTATAAAACGCATTAGCGTATCATTACGAAACTCAGTATTGGTCATCGGCACGATGCCCTGAAGGAGCCTAAGAAGTTTCTAACCAGTGCCACCTAGTGGTAAAATCAAATATTTAGTTATGGATGTAGCTGACTTATTTTCACGAGAGTCATATCTTTAAATTTCTGAATCCTTGCTGAGTTCAACGATACCAAACATCCTAGGTTTCAACTTATGGTTTGTGCAACATTGTGATTTAGCGTTTAAACAACTTTCGCAAATATCTTCAAAACCGTTAGTCCGATCAAGATGAAACCACTGTAGGAAAATCAAAAACATAGGTTGTTGCCTATATGCTAATGGCCAAATCTCAAAATTTTGATTCTAAGTGGCAAAAGAATGCAATCAAAGTCGGACATAGGTCATTTTTTATGTTTTCATAAATACAAATAAGTGTAAATAAATAAGTCTTTATAACTAAAAGATAAAAGATATTTTCACCAAATTTGACACACTTGTGTGTGGGCTCACTCTGAGGACACAAAAGAATTGTGACACTTGGTGGCGCTATAGTTGAACAAAATATGAAATTGGAACTAATTACAGTACAGTATTATGATATAAAATGCTATATTTTATTTGTATGTTATTACGAAACTATGTATGTGTTATTGGTACGATGCCCTGAAGGTACTCAAAAAATTCTGAGGCAGTGCCATCTTGTGGTCAAGACTTATAATGAAATAAAAATTAAAAAATGCTAATAGCTTTTGACTATTTTTGCCTATTGTCATAATTCTGGTCTTAATAGATTCCTTGGGTCATACTGAAAACATAGATACCAATGTTCCTGTCTGCTAATTTGATTTTCTTTGATAACCTACTTCTTCGAACTCCTCACAGACCGTTGGTCCGATTTTCACCAAATTTGAGTCAGATCATCTTCAGACCATATTCACAAAAAGTCGATAGATGAAATCATTTTTAGTATACCGCAGTTGTTGATGGCATTTATTTATTTCAAGTATACATTTTTTTTTTCCAGGATTTAGTTAACTATAATAACCCTTTTTGGAATGACATGAGAGTCATTATTTTTATAACCCCTATATAGCACATCCCAGTAGATATGAGAGCACAGAATTTACCTCCCAGGGTCATTCCAGCCTCAAAACATCTCTTCAGGCGGCAGGATGGGCAGTTCTTCCTCCTCAGTTTATCTATGGTGCAGTCATTCCTGCTAGCGCAGAGATACTTCTGCTTCCCTAGAAGTAGAAATAGATGGTTTTCAGAAGTTTTAACGTAGTTTGAGTCAGGTGGCAGCCAAAGTAAAGCTCAAGAAAGGACAGAGCTGGACATATCACATTGACACCAAGATAAAACATGGATCAGAATTTAAAAAAAAGAGAACAAACACACACACACACACACACACACACTAAAAATGCTAATAGCTTTTGACTATTTTTGCCTATTGTCATAATTCTGGTCTTAATAGATTCCTTGGGTCATACTGAAAACATAGATACCAATGATCCTGTCTGCTAATTTGATTTTCTTTGATAACCTACTTCTTCGAACTCCTCACAGACCGTTGGTCCGATTGTCACCAAATTTGAGTCAGATCATCTTCAGACCATATTCACAAAAAGTCGATAGATGAAATCATTTTTAGTATACCGCAGTTGTTGATGGCATTTATTTATTTCAAGTATACATTTTTTTTTTTCAGGATTTAGTTAACTATAATAACCCTTTTTGGAATGACATGAGAGTCATTATTTTTATAACCCCTATATAGCACATCCCAGTAGATATGAGAGCACAGAATTTACCTCCCAGGGTCATTCCAGCCTCAAAACATCTCTTCAGGCGGCAGGATGGGCAGTTCTTCCTCCTCAGTTTATCTATGGTGCAGTCATTCCTGCTAGCGCAGAGATACTTCTGCTTCCCTAGAAGTAGAAATAGATGGTTTTCAGAAGTTTTAACGTAGTTTGAGTCAGGTGGCAGCCAAAGTAAAGCTCAAGAAAGGACAGAGCTGGACATATCACATTGACACCAAGATAAAACATGGATCAGAATTTAAAAAAAAGAGAACAAACACACACACACACACACACACACACAGAGAATCCTCCAATTAGAGGGAGCTGTTAACGTGACAATCCAGTCTGATAGGTCACAGCCCTCACTCTGATCACCTGGGACAGCCAAATGAAAAGTGCAGAGTGAGATTTGAAAAGAGGTTCTACTGTGTGTGTGTGTGTGTGTGTGTGTGTGTGTGTGTTAATAAGGAACACAGAGCCACCACTGAAGTAACCTACACAACTGAAGTCAGGTCTGACATAAAATTATAATGAGACGTAACAGATATCCACTGCCAGACCTACATACAATTATAACAAGATCTGAGATTAACAGATAAAACAGAAGTAAAACCTAATCAACTGTAAATCAAGTGTAAAAGCAATGCAATTCACCTCACAACAAGAATCAAAATTTAACATGGAATAATTTACATAAATACTGAGTAACACACTATCATAATCAGATTTGACATAATTCCAAACAAATGTACTTATTCTATAAATGTTATTATCCTTTAAACTTATTCAGAAAGACAGCTCTAACCTTAAATATCTGTCTACAATTATTCATAAACAACAACAATGAGGCCAGAATAAGACTACTCCTCTTAGTATATTGTTCCATGTCTCTCTCTCTGTCTCAATTAACAACTGTTTAAACAGTATAATAGTGTGATATTTCTGTATTTGATTAAACTGAAGTTCATTGTTGGCTGTGAGGCAAGACCTTTTAACTCCTCTTAACTTTGATCAATTGTTTTGTTCCACAATCTGTGGGTGTTCAAAGCAAAAAGGGCATCACTTTATCAGAAGTGTATATTGTTGTTTCAATTTGAACATTTATTTGCAGGATTATGGAACGATATTCCGGACAATTTTCAAATAGAATAACAAATTGTATTTTCAATTGCGTTTTCAATATGTGGACGCATAAATAGTGACATAATCCAAATGCAATTGCAAATTTTCGCTTTCGCGAACGCACAGTGACTGCCAAATTTCAAATGAAAAAGCAAAGTCCATTTGCAACTGTAATTCCCATGTCTTAGGAGTTACGAGCCTGTCATATTTAAATAGCAATATTAATTACCACGTCTGCTTTTTCACTCTCGCTGTGTCGCACATGTAACCTGCCAAAATTCAAATGGAATCGCAATTCCTTTTGCATCTGAATTTCCGATGTCTACATGGAAAGCTGCCAATCATTGCCAGGGGCGGGACTATAATATGGGGCGTGTTTGTATTGGGAGGTGACGTCACTCACAGACGACAATCAGTTTCAATCAGTTTCGTACCTGTGTGAACGAATAGACAGTGCAAATCTATACTTATTTTCCACCTTACTTTATATTTTATTCAACAGTTTTAAATAATTATGGAGTTCGCGTCCCGTACATGGCACCAAAGCGTTGCGCCTGCCTCAAGATCTCTCACTATTTACAGCCACTGGACACCGCGATTGATGCACGTGATTTTTAATGTTATCTTGCCTTGGCTGTGGCGTGTTCTGTGACAGCTGCACCTAGATCTGACTGGTGAAGTGTCATCTGGGGCAGGCAGAGTAAGAGTAGCAGCATTTTCTGTTTTGTCACATGCATCTATCGGATCGTAAACAGACTGAGAGATCTTGAGGTAGGTGCACATAGGCTATTAGATAGGAATAAGATATATGTTGCAAATAGGTAAATACGTGTAGATTTGCACTGTTTGTTTAAGTGCATCAAGTGGAGTGCAAACGGTAAAAGGCCTTGAGGCAGGTGTGACACACTCTCTATTAAGGATTAAAAGTGTAAGTGAGTGTAAACAGTGAGAGATGCTGAGACAGGTGAAAAGCCTTTGGTTAATAGTGAATATTGACCTATTGTGCGTACCGTTGTGGCTCCCGCTGTTAGCAGGGGATAATCGCTACATTTGGGGTAAAAAACACATAATTATGTATTGTGCCAAGAAGGTTGCACTGTCTGTTCGTTCACACAGGTACGAAACTGAGTGGTAGCTGCCTTTAGTGGAGCCTTTACCGATTACCTCCATTGATCAGAGCATTCGGCACGGTCGTCTGTGAGTGACGTCACCTCCCAATACAAACACGCCCCCTAGTATAGCCCCGCCCCCTCACATTGATTGACAGCTTTCCATGTAGACATCGGAAATTCAAATGCAAAAGGAATTGCGATTCCATTTGAGTTTTGGCAGGTTACATGCGCGACACAGCGAGAGTGAAAAAGCAGACGTAGTAATTAATATTGCTATTTAAATATGACAGGCTCGTAACTCCTAAGACATGGGAAATACAGTTGCAAATGGACTTTGCTTTTTCATTTGAAATTTTGCAGTCACTGCGTTCGTGAAAGCGAAAATGCAAACGGTAATGCAGGATTTGCAATTGCATTTGGATTGTCACAATTTATGCATCCACATATTGAAAACGCAATTGAAAATACAATTTGCTATTCTATTTAAAAATTGTCCGGATTATCGTTCCATACAGGATGAACATGGGTTTACATAGTGTAAACATTATTAAACTTTGCACATTTGTATACATCCTAACATTATCACTGATATACATTAATTCTTTTTTTATTTATAGTGAATATATTTGTATATCGTGTGTATATTCAGTCTATCCTCACTCCAAAATTTGACACAATTTACTGATCCTCATGTCATTCCAAACCTGAATGACATACAGCATACTACCATTCAAAAGTTTGGAGTCAGTAAGATTTTTTTAATATTCTTGAAAGAAGTCTATGTTCAATTGGGGCAGAATATATTTGATCAAAAATACATTAAAAACACAAATGTTGTGAAATATTATTACAATTTAAAATAACAGTTTTCTATTTTAACATTTTAAAATGTAATTTATTTTGTGATGTGAGTCACCTAATGGTTAGAGAGTCAGACTTGTAACCCGAAGGTTGTGGGTTCGAGTCTCAGGTCCGGCAGGGATTGTCGGGGGTGGGTGACTATACAGCACTCCCTTCCACCCTCAATACCATGACTGAGGTGAGACCCTTGAGCAAGGCACCGAACCCCCAACTGCTCCCCTGGTGCCGCAGCAATATGGCTGCCCACTGCTCTGGGTGTGTGTTCACTTGGATGGGTTAAATGCAGAGCACAAATTCTGAGTATGGGTCACCATACTTGGTCACACGTCACTTCACTTTCACTTTCAAAGCAAACATTTCACAGACATGTCTTAAGGCTAGTCCCAGATTAAAATACATGTTTGAGCTGTCGCAACTGAAAATATCTTGCTCTGACATATCTTAAAAAATGTCAGTTCCATTGTTCTGTCTCAAGATGCACACATGTAACGTTTTCTTCTAAGGCATTTTTATAAAAGCTGCTTAAATATCTTAATTTAACTAAGGCCTAGTCCTGGCTTAAACTAAGCCCCATCTGTGAAACCAGGCCTTAGTCTTCAATCTCCAGTCTTCAGCGTCACATGATCCTCCAAAAATATTCTAAAATGCTAATTTGGAGCTCAAGTATTGTTTCTTATTATCAATGCTGAAAACAGTTGTGCTGCTTAACAATTTTTGTGCAAACTGTGATATGTTTTTAAAGAAGTTCTGTTTGTTTTTTGACATTGTAAAATACTTTACTGTCAGTTTTGCTAATTTTTTTAAACCATCACTTTTAAATAATAGTACATTTTATCTATGGAACACAAATACACAGCAAAACTTCATTTTACGAAGCCCGGGAAGTCACCTGTAGGAGAGAAGAAAAAAAAATCCATCCCCTCAGTTAATAAACCATACTCACGAATTCTTCAACTGTTCCCTCGGTTTAAGAAATCGTGCCCACAGATTAATAAACCGTACCCACAAATTTCCAATCCGTGCGCTCAGATTTTGTAAACCGTGGTTGAATCTACCGCCCCCACCGGCAGATTCAACCACGGTGTGGGATGCATAGTATTGTGTTTATTAAACATTATTTTTCATAGTAGCCTATGAGACCATGATCCGCACTCACAAAATAGTCTTCTTTTTAGCGTTTATTTAACATTAATCACCAATAGGATAAAACACCGTCTCCTGTAAATAAACGCTAAAAAGAAGAATAGAAAATTTCCTGAATTTTCTAAAAAAAAAAACGATACAAAAAAGCAATACAAAACAAATAATGTACCGGTTATGTTGTCATTCCTTTGCTCTCTAACTGAATGCAATGTTATAATAGGCCTAGTTATTTAATAATAACAAAAAAGCATGCATCTAACTCTGGGGGGAAAAGCTTAGTATAATAAAATCACCTAAATAAGTCTGTGAATGAATGAATGAAATATGTTAAGAATGAACTTATTATTGTTATTATTATTTTACATTTAGGTTACATATGCATTTAGAAGAAGCTTTTATCCAAAACAACTTACAAAAGAGGAACAAATGACTCCAAAGTCAGTCACAATGGCAGGTTTATTATACAATAATAATCAAGTGCTACGATTATCACAAATTAAACAAGATTTTGACACATATCTTTCTTATTAAATCGTTGTATTCCACCTTGTACCCGTTACAATTGATAGAGAATCACTTAAGACAATTTACTGTAGGCCTATTCCACATAATAATATGCAATAAAACAATATACAATATGATTCGTTAACACATAGGCTACCTAGGAGCTTGCTGCATGAATCCGTGAGTACAGTTTACAAACCTGAGGGAACGGATTGCGAAAGCGTGCGCACGGATTATGAATTTGTGGGTACGGATTCAAAAACCGAAGGTACGGTTTACAAAATCTAAACGCACACAGATTGGAAATTCGTGGGTATGGTTTATTAATCTGTGGGCACGATTTGTTAAACCGAGGGAACAGTTTAAGAATTTGTGAGTACGGTTTATAAACTGAGGGGACGGATTGTAAAACCGTCGCAATGGATTGTTTTTTTTTTCTCCTACTGGTGACTTCCTGTGGCCCGTATTATTTATATTCCATGGAACACAAAAGTTTTTCATGAAGATATCAAGTAGACTGTCCAAGTTGCTTTTTTCATACATTGGAAACAACCACAACTGTCCCTTCCTTCCTCTGGTTCTCAGACTTTCGTTGTAGGGAACAGACCATCTTGCATATTCTGCCTAATAACTCCTTTTGAGTTCCATGCAAAAACGTAAGTCATACAAGTTTGGAACAGGGATGAGAAAATGAATAAGAGACATGAATAATACTGAAATCTATGCTTAGGTCACTTTGAGCGAAGTGTTTGAGTCTCAGTGATTACTAATTGTTTATGACGAGTCTTTACACACCTCACAGCCAAGTCTGTACTTTACAGGGTTGTAGGCATTCAATTTCCATTGCTACATTTTCTTTTGGGTTGCGTAATAGGGAAAGAACGTGTCCCTAATTTGTGTATACTTAAGACACAATGTGTCGCCTACTTGCTCTCTCTTTGTCTCTCTCTTTAGCTGAACTCCTGAATGCCTGTGTATGATGTGCCAATTGTTGCTTTATAAAGTGATATGATTAAAAACAATAAAAGCTGTACTGGACACATGGTCAAAAGCATATTAATTCTATGGCAGCTTTTAATGCAGCTTTAAAGACAGTTTATAGCTGCAATTAAAAGTTCTAATTAAAGTGATAACAGTCCTCACATATGGTGAATATATTTAGTCGTTAATATAATCCGAAGCCAGACTTTTGTTATAATGGGTGTGTTTATGTTACCCTCAGCAGCTCTCTTAAAGAACACTTTGCAGCTTCCACAAGTGAGGGCTCCATAGTGACATCCCGATGCTTCGTCAGAGCAGATTAGGCATGTCCTTTGTGGAGGAAGGAAAAAGTCCATTGGGAAAATGTCACTCCTCCCTCCATCATACCTAAAAATAAAAACACAGCATAAACTAATGGCATAACAAAACACTGACATAAATGTTCTGTTCTCTGTTATATCAGCAGAAGAAAACAAATGCACTGCAAACATGGAACTTGTTCTTCCACTGTAATGTCAATTGTGAAGAAAAATATGAGGTCCATTATCAGTAATTTGAACAGAACACACATATCAGATCTCATCCAAACAAACACAGAAATATAGGAGTAATGGGTGCGTATTTGTACATTCAGATGTTTGAACAGAATAAAAATAGTGTAGGATGTAGCTGAATTTCTCTGAAGTTTTACATCAGTTGTCCAGTGTGCGGCTGCTAAACTAGAAATGTCATTTGCAGGTCCAGCACTCAGCTATAATATTCCCTATGAAAATGCCCAGTTGAAAGCTGGTGCATGTACCCGTGTGTGTCATCGGCCAAATGATGGTTGTAAGTAGAGGTGGCATTATCCTAATGCAAGCGCCAGGTATCTAATGAAGGGTAATAACTGCTTTATTCCTTAAGGAATGATGGAAAGATTCTGAGTTAAAGAGAGTCATTCAACATGATTATTCTGTTCTGGTGATGGCAGCCAATTCTGTCACCACACACACAGCGAGAAAGGAAAAGTGAACAAAATGACTATGATTAGGACAAGGGCATATTTCTGATATTTTCTTGGCTGTCTAAAAGAAGTGGTCAAACGTTCTACATTATAATAACTTTTTTTTTAAAGAGAGAGTAAAATAAAAAAGAGAGAACTCAGGTGATACATTGTGACAGTCCAGACCTACATAAAAAAGTAAAAAAAGAAATCTCATTGTCACCATTGTTTTTCACTTTTCTCTCTCTGTTTTCACCTCTTTTTTTTTCTTACATACACATGGTTGGGTGCTGCTGGTTCAAGATCCATATAGTTGGATCCATTATAGTTGGCCATCTCAACTATAATTAATGGCAGGAAATAAATAATGGGAAAATGACTGTCCACTTCAACTTGAAAACATGTCTGCATTAGGTATGAGAGATTTATAAAAACTTGTACATCTACGGTTTAAAACTTTTTCATTCAATTTAAACAGGAAAGAGATATTTATATTCATTTAACAGTAATAAACAACATTAACCTACAAATATATTTTACTGAAACCTTTTAAAATGCCACATGGAGACTTTAGTGATGACATAAATTGTAGCATTCGATTCAGTGTGACAATTTATGTGAAATGGTTTTTAAAGCCATTTACACAGAATGTAATTTTGCTCATGTTTCATTAATGAGGACCGCTGTGAATATATCATAAAAATCGAATATATCAACCCATTTTCCTATTTTCTTCATTTTCCCATTTTCCTACTGTATGAACATACAGTATGGGTATATCAAAACACTTTTTCCCACATTTATCCGTGCAGATTGAATGGGGAAAATCTGTGAAATTCTGTCAAAAAAATTTAAGAATGGTAAAAAGTGTTAACAGGAGCTATTAATATTATTGGTAGCTAAAGACACATTCAAAATCTATTCAAAATATTCAAAATAATGAATAAATGAACACATGTGTAGGAAGTTTGTAAATAACAGCACTGGAATTTTCCAGAAATCTGCTGTATTCTGTGGAATTCTGTGCAGATTCCAGGAAGGCCTGCATATGGGTAAAATCTCTCTAATGTTGTATGGGAGTTCGGACATTCTCTGGAGGTTTTTGGGTTGTTTTACTCACACTACTGACCTGCCAGCTGCGGCATTTTCCAAACAAGCCATATCAATCACAGGGTCTGGGTGTCTCTCACTATCAGCATTATGGCCGCTATTGCTTTGACCTCATGCAATGCTGTGTTTAAGAAGGTCACTTGGGCTAAAAATAAGGTCGCATTAAAGTTCTGAGCCAGAGCAGTCACACCACACATGCTCTCACCAGGGACTCGAGCGGTGTTGGTTTGCTCTCACTTACTATTTCCACTGACACGTTCTTTAGTCTTCCTCATTGCTGTAGATTAGACATAACTTGATAGCTTAATAACACTCAAAGGACATTTTTGAAATACTAAATGGGCAGTGTGTGTTTATCTTCACCATTGCTCAGTAAATTTATTGTCATGCTTCGTGCTTATGTCAGGTTTGCATTTATTTCTCATGCTCCCTCAACTGCTGTGAGGCTTGCGTTTGCCATTTCTCGGTCTCCAACACTGTTACATAAATGTTATTTTAACATATCCCACTGTCACTGATATACTAGGTTTGCATTAGTGACACTAGCATGCAGATAAAAATCTACATATTTTACCCATATATAAAATGTACATCAAAGGAATAGTTCACCTAAAATTAACTCACCCTCATGTTGTTCCAAACCTGTCCAGTTTTGTTTTAGACCTCATTCACTTTCACTTTATGGACAAAAACAACAGAAACATTCTTTAAAGTATCTTCTTTTGTGTTCCACAGTAGAAAGAAGGGTTTGGAACGACATGAGGTTGAGTGAATGATGACCAAATGTTCATTACATTAATGTCAGTGTTGTAATACTGATGAAATGTAGATGTTTTAGGTATTGTGGGCTCTGGCCTAATCAGCTCTTGAACTGAGCTGGGGTGTTAATGACACCTAAGTATAACACAGAGAGACTGTCTTTACTGATGAAGGTAGAGACAGGGAGTATGAAGTTAAGATCGAGTGGGTACAAGTTTGTGTGTGTGTGTGTGTGTGTGAGAAGAGGACTGCACCACAACCAAGAAGTTGATTGGACACAGAGTACAGACATAACCAGTGTTGGGGAAAGTTACTTTTAAAAGTAATGCATTACAATATTGCGTTACTCCATAAAAAAGTAACTAATTACGTTACTTAGTTACTTTTTAAGGAAAGTAATGCGTTACGTTACTTTTGCGTTACTTTTTAAATCTGGACAGGGCTTGCTTGTTTGTTTTTAAAATAAAAAAGTTATATTTTTGGCAAATATAAAGCCTTTTCACACCAAAAGTGAAATGAATAAGCCTCAGGCTGAAGGGAAAGTACATTTACATCCGTACTGTAGAATGCAGAAGAAGACATTTCAACACACTTCAGCAATAAAAAAATATTATTATTGCTTATTAGTACGGTTGAAGAAAAAAAGACATTGGTTAATAGAATGGGATTAAATACATAAAGGATATAAAAAAGTAATCTGACTACGCAACTTGCGTTACTTGTAATATATTACCCCCAACACTGGACATAACTATACTCAGTGTCATGAGATGTCAAGGGTACTCACAAGGGCGATCACATATAACAAACACTCACATACTGACACGTTTTTTTACACTAAACTTCAGTTACAGTTATATGATAATGAAATCATACACTTTCACAATGAGTTATGAATAATATACACATTTCTTCATAGTGAAACACTAAGCAAAGTCAAACAAGTGAGCATAAGCACATTTCATCAGCACCAAAAGAGATTAAAATAGTTCATTTGCTTCTTTCTTTCTTTCTTTCTCAAAATAATTTACTCGCCCTCATATCTTTAAAAACCCATATGACTTCTGTGGAACATAAAGTCAGTTATTTATAGCAGGATGTTCAAGATGCTCTTTTCCATATGACAGGGAACAATGACCACAGCTGTCCAAAATTTTCAGTGAATAACGACTTTCAATTTCTATTCCACATAAAGCTATTGTATGACTGAAATATAGCATAGAAGTCACAATAACTACTTTTATTGAGCTTTTTTTTTGCTTGGGGGGGGGGGGGGGGGGGTTGTTGACAAACCCTGGACTCCATCCACTTTCACTGTACAAGACAAATCAGCTTGGATATTCTGCTAATAATAATTGTTAAAAAGACAGGTTTTTGGTCGGGTAACATCAATTGTTTCATGTGGTAACATTTAAAGTTATTCAAGTAAATTAAGAAATTGTATTCAAGTATTATACTAAATTATTAATCTATAAATTGTAAATGATATGATCAGCCTGATTTCATTACATTAGCCTAGCTAAAGTAATTTTTAAGTCTTCAGGTATGCATTTGTATGCTGCACGTATGCAGTCCACTGAAGAAAGAATATCACACAAAGTGGTGACAGAATATAAATTTTTGGGTGAACTGTCCATTTAACAAATATTTATATAATGTAAAACAGAGAAAGAGTTGTGCACAAATTAGAATTAAATTGAGAATTAAATTCCAATTAAACGGCTGAATTTAAACCGAGATATTAAACAAGATGCATAATTGCAATAACAACTGGAATCCATAAAAGTACAACTAAAATTTAAATGAAGGTTCAGGACAAACTAAAGGTTTGCATCCAGAATGAATGAGAGACACTGAAACAGAAATTTGTATTTACTTATATAGTTTCACATATTTTGCCCTATTTCTTTTCCCAGAATGAATTCCTGTGATGAATTACTTTCATTCCAGTCCAACTTCCTATGGGGTGAGTGGCCAATTCAACACTCATTCCCGGTTATAAATAAAAAGAGATTTTTCAATTCTGAATTGAACACAGGTCCAGAATTTCTGTCATTCCCTTACAGGTGAACTCAAGAAACACAGTGAAGTTTTTAGGGTTCTTCATTAGGCTGTAAACACATTCTGAGACCATGTGTAAGGCGACAGTGATGTGAGAAGTGTAACGCATTTGTAGGTGAGGTGACTGTGTTTGCATGTGTGTCCTGTGATGTTTCCAGAGGTGATTAGGTGTACAGGTGATTAAGTGATCTCGGGTTAAGCGAACAACTCCAATTTGTCACTTACTTCATCAACACTTGCTGCAAAACAGGTATACAACTGTCACACACACACAAGCGCCGATCCCCCAACAACCAATGGGAATGGCTCAGCACCCATGGAAAAACATGAAATATTCTCTATTAACTTTGACCAATCAAAAAAAAAAAGAATCAATTGACATTCAGCAACCTCTCTGATTGGTGGAACTCACATTGTATACCTGCCGGTCTTAATACACACAAAAGCCTCTTTAGACTGGCTATTTCATGGAGTT